TGTGAGTGGGCTTTGTATAGGGCATAAATTCCCTACCATAATTGGCCTCCTTTTTACACCAAGATAAACATTTTCATTTATTAGCTATCTTATCTTTATTGAGGCAGTTTTAAGAATCCTTTTGCATTAAAAAAAAAATTGACTAATTTTGAAAACAAATTGTTTCCTGTGATTGCATGTCTCCAAAACAAAAGGAAAAAAAAACTTAAATCTAAACCTAGTAGGATCCCTGTGTGAATCCTCTTTTGTTCCCTTTCCTAAGAGAATACTTGATAAGAACTATGCAATGTGCACGGGCAATGGTTCAGAGACAGACAAATGCAAAGCCAGTACCAAATACGGAGCCGCTGTGGGTCAGAATCTGGCCTTTGTTAGAAAGAGTTTGCAGTTAAGGGGTAATGACTACACTAGATCTCAAAACCTGGAATGGGTGGCTGTTGGATTACACTGAACGGGTCTACAATGAGGGGTGGCGGCATCGCCCTTCAGCTGCGGTGCTGCACACGCCAGCACTGACTTCCTCACCCGCGTCACCGACTCTGTGCGTTCTCAAACATGGGTGCTGGTTGGCCTTCTCCAGTGCTCCTCTTTTCTCCCGACTAAACCGTGCCCGGATGTTCTTGAACAGGAGAAACGCCGGCCTACCACTACGGGACCCACTATTCCTCTGCCATGATCGTGGCCTCCTACCTCGTTAGGATGGAGCCTTTCACGCAGATATTCTTACGGCTGCAGGTCAGTTCGTACGTGGGGAGTTCTTTCTTTCCGTTCCTTTCCAGCCTGGCTTTTATGTAGTCGTTTTCTCTGTGTTCGTGCCCCACAGCCTGTGACGTTTTAGTGACAAAAGTAGCCAGGCAGAGTCCCCTGGACCAGACCGGAACTAGTTTAAAATAAACAAGCAGCAGGGTCCTTTAATCAAGTTTGCATGCAGCATTTGCTTTCCAGCAGAGAGGTGCCAGGCCTGTCGGCCTGAGCTCAGCCAGTGGGGATGAAGAGGGCCGTGTTCCAGCCACGCGCTGTCTCCGAGCGGGATGGCTGTTCGCGCATTTATGCCGCAGCCACTGCTTGAGTGCTCGCCGGGCCCGGTGCCCGGGGCTTCTCAATGAATGAAGACAGAGCAGCCCTGCGGAGTGAGCGTGTGATTCGGTTGAGGAAGACCGTTGTCAAGTGTTCAGATGATGACAGTACTGACAGGGAGATAGAGGTCAGGGGAAAGAGGAAAGCGCGTGTGGGAACAGGAAGTGGTGGTGACAGAATGCAATTGAACGGTGTGCGAAACAGCTCCCCGAAAAGGTGACGTGGGAGCAAAGACGTGAGGCAGTGACAGATGTCTGCAGGAGGGCTGTGCCAGGTGGGAGCCCAGCATATCCAGAGCAGAGAGAGAGAGAGAAAGCCAGCCAGCTTGAGGGACGAGACCAGATCAAGACAGGCCCATTGTGGGACCTGCAGCATTTTCTCAGGGAGCTCCACCACACAGACAACAGCATAGCAAGTGTGATTGAGGACAGGGGGTGGGGGTGGGGGGCAGGAGGGCATGTGGATAAGCTAAAAGAAGCCCCTTTTCTCTTTGAAAGTGTCCAGTCTATAACGTCTTCTTTTTTCAGTCTCTAACTTCTTGACCACCTTTCCTAATTGCTCCTTTGTGGAAGCCAGTGGTTCATTCCTTGGGAAAAGGTGAAGGATGCGCTAGCCTCTGGGGCTAAACAAGCATTGACATAACGCTGTGATTTGCAGCTGCAGGGGGTCACGGGACCTCTTCATAGGAAGCTGCCTGGAGCTCTGGAAGAGCTCGTTTTCATTAGTCTTACCCGTTCTCAAATCACTAATTTAAAAAACCCACCTCCTTGAAGTGTTCATATATGGATTTCAGTCTGATTACAAAAGAAATCTATCTTGAACACCCTCTAATAAGGAGTTCCCCAAAGAGAATGAGAGTAGGCTTCCCACTGTGACCCTCAGTCACTTTATGTGGCACGGATGGCGGGACGTTGAAATATATCCCCAGGATTATCTGCCTGGGGTTTTCAAACCCCTAGACTTGCCACACCGTGAGGTGGGCAGGGTCCCCTAACAACCAGGTAACCTAATTCTGCCCACAGGGCGGCCACTTTGACCTGGCTGACCGGATGTTCCACAGCGTGCGCGAGGCCTGGTATTCAGCATCGAAGCACAACATGGCAGATGTCAAAGAACTGATCCCAGAATTTTTTTACTTACCAGAATTCCTGTTCAATTCCAACAACTTTGACCTAGGTACGTAAGAGCCGCGGCACGATGTTGGGGGGTTGGCTGGGAAAGACCATCTGAAACCAGTGGCACTGCTGAAGACTTGAGCGAGCAGACACCACGAGGACGGAAAAGACTTCTTCTGTGTGCAGTTGCCTGTAGTTACTGTGATTAGGTGCACGTGATTAATATACACAGAGAAACAAACTCAGGCCTCTGATCAGCCAAGACAGCTTGCATGAATAGTCAAAGTACTGTTTAGTCGTAGGATATCATTGTTAAAGACACAGTACCTGAAGGAGGTGTGTCTTCAAAAGAAGATGTTGATGTTAGGTGCCATCTAGTCAGTTCCGACAACGAAACACTGCCTGTCCCCACGCCATCCTCCCACTTGGTGTAGGATTGGCGCCCATTGTCGCAGCCTCATTACTGAATAGGAACGTGTAAATCTCCGGGGCGGGGGGAGGGGTGGGGGAAGCACTCAAACGAATGCATGTACACACGTGTTCGTAGCAGCACTGTTTGTAATAACCCCCAAGTAGGCGCCACCCAAATACTGACCAACCGAGTGGATAAACAAATTGTGTGTGCGTCTGTACTTGCACACAACAGGCTCGTTTTCAACCACAACGAGGAAAGGAAAATGAAATGACGATACATGCTAGAATGTAGGTGAGCCCTAGAACATGACGCTAAATGAAATTGGCCAAAAACACAGAAGATGACCGAGGGGAGATTCCATGTGAATGAAATATCTGGAGGACGTGGAGACTGCCTTCCTAGGGGGTGCAGCGTTTCACTTTGGAGCGATGACAATGTTTTGGAACCTAGGTAGACTCAGTGTTTGTACCACACAGGCAGGCCCTGGGTTACGAACACCCGATCTTCATTTAACCCACAGTTGGAAACCAACTAATTATAAAGCCTATTTGAGGTGCATTATGGCAAAGCATAATGACAAACTGAAGTACTATGTTGCAATGCCCATCAAAATATTGTTACTACTACTCCGATGTTTTGTTAAAGATGTTTTTAGTGGATCTGAAAGTGTGTAACATTTTTAGGCATTGAAGATACACGATATACATGATATTTGGCGAGCTCACATTGGATTTACCCATACTGAACTATTCCAATTCACAAATTCACCTTAAAGACAGCTTCAGGAGCAGGACTCTGGTATTCTGGGGAGTCTGGGGCCTGCACTCTGGTATTCCGGGGAGTATGGGGACTGCTTTATAAATGTCACAAGACTCACTTTCAAGGGGTTAGTTTTATGTCATGTGAATTTGCCTCGTTTGTTTTTTCAAGCATCTCCATCCAGAAAAGGTAGTTAATAGTGTACAGGGAAAGTGCCCTTGGATTCTTTCTAAGCCAGGGGGGCCAAGGGTGGGGGGTGGGGTAGAGTTAATCACCAGCATCACAGACTTCCTGTCTTCAGCCCCTTGCGTGCACAGGCAGGGAGCTGCCGAGCAGAACAGTGAGACCAAGGGCATTCTACACACGTCGTTCCCTTTTACAACCTTTTTAAATTGCAGGTGGTGCTGATGCGGGAATGAAATTATATCACAGATGCATTGAGGGGCATGAGCAAAATACTGAAAGCTAGATTACATTTCAAGTAGCTTGGCACTTACTACATATTTCTTCTAATACATTTTTACCCTATTCTTTATGTGAAAAATTAAGCGTGGACATTTTTTTCCCTAGGGCCCCGGGTGAAAACATGAAATGGGCGGGGTCCATAGGTGGTGTCCCGGGGTCATAGTTAGCTGACCCCTGTATTTTCTATCTAAGTCATCCGTGGTCATTGGTTCCAACCAAGTCAATGCTTGCCTGAACTTTGCATCTCTCGCTTATACCACATTGTACTAAGCCATCAATTGACAAATGATGGAAGGATTGTTTCTAAGGATTGTTCTGTTTATATTGGCGTGAGGGACCACTTTTGTGTTTGGATGTTTGCACACCTCTTTGTCTAACCAACTGCCGCTAAGCCAGTAAGTCAGCATTGTTGTTTAGTCTTTTTTTCCTTTCACCAAGTTAATCCAATTGTACCTGGAAAAACTGTGTACTGAAGTGTCCCTTTGGGGGTGTTATTTCAGAAAATGGGGGGGAAATAATGTCTTCCAACATCAAACCCCCTGTAATGCGCTGTGCTGTGCATCGACGTCCTGGTTCTCACGGCCACACCGTCGCTTCTGACTCAGGACCACCTTCAGGGGGACTGCGGCTGCCCCTGTGGTCAGAGACAGTCTGCGGTGGGGAACGGCTTCATTTTTCTCCTGCAGACCAGCGCAGGGTTTCCAACCACTGACCTTGTGTTAGCAGCCCAGCGTAGCCCACTGATCTCTCCGGCCCCCTCCCCCACCCCCAGGCTCCTCTCAGGTACGTCTAGCGGGCAGTCTCTCCAAGATCTTCAAGGCTACCTGGCCAAAAATTAACCCTTCACATGGACTAAGGCCTAGGTGGCATATGTTACCACCGCTTGGTAGTTTTGCTGCTGATGGGTAGCCCTTTAATCTTTCCAAGAATTCTTTTTTTCTTCTGTTAAATAATCTAGTGACAGTAAAGAGTTACCTCATTCCAGATTATATTTTTAAGTGAAAATGCTCACTGCCACCACAGGCCCACTCCTAGTCAGAGGTTTGAAAGTCGGGCATGTGGGAAGCTGCCTATTCCAGATCCCATTTGCTCCTAAAGGAAGAGAGAGTTCAAACTGGACGAGCCTGAGGAGAAAAAGAGCCTTTCACTAACTCCCTCGGAGCAGATGGGAAAGCCTTGTCCAAGCTTCAGTCCTGGTTAACTGCTGAGAAGTCACCGTGCCGTGAGGGCCGGAAGGAAGATGTTAGAATTACTTGTCTTCTTCCAAATGAGCAGTCCTCAAAGGATGGAGTCTGAGCAGCGTCTCCACCTCAGAGCAGTAGCCCCACAGAATGCTTCATTTAAAAGGAATCATGCAGTCAGTTAAGTTGTCCCCAATCCCCCACCACCTCCAATGTGGGATAGAATAGATATCCCTCTCTTAGGGAAGGGCAGTGTCTGCTAGCCTCTGTAAGCCTCCAGGGAAGTCTGGTAGGCTGGAGGCCTGTTGGACTTGGTGAAACTCCACATTTCCTGGTGTCATTTAATCCTCAAAGCCCCCCAGGCTGGCCATCCTACTGTAGAGCCTTCCTCTGAGGAGCTGTTCCCAGGGCTTCTCTGGTGGTGAAAGTCTTAAGTTCTCATGATGAGCCTGAGCCTGTGGCTTCCATTTGAAGCAATTATTCATCCCGTTCTTTCTCCACCCCCTTCCCCCCCACCCCCATATATCCCATCACATAGGCTGTAAACAAAATGGCACCAAGCTTGGAGATGTCATCCTCCCGCCCTGGGCCAAAGGGGACCCACGAGAATTCATCAGAGTCCACCGTGAGGTAAGGGGGTCGCTCTAGCAGAACTTTGAACTTGGTGTGGGCGTGGACCACATCCAAAGAGAGCCACTTGAGCCCTGGATGACCCATCTGTTTATGTCACTAAGAATGTTTTCTTGATGTTTGCTTCCTGTATTCCCGACTGCCCACTGTGATCTTCCCAAGCAAAGAGGAGCCGTCAGCAGTGGAGGGAACTGCTTGTGTTTTGAAATTGCAGGCTTTGGAATGCGATTACGTGAGTGCCCGTCTGCACGAGTGGATTGACTTAATCTTCGGCTACAAGCAGCAAGGCCCGGCGGCCGTTGAGGCGGTCAATGTCTTCCATCACCTTTTTTATGAGGGCCAGGTGGATATCTACAACATAAACGACCCGTTGAAGGAGACGGCTACCATTGGATTCATTAATAACTTTGGTCAGATCCCCAAACAGGTAGGAACGTCCATTTTTCCTTCATCTAGTACTATTATCCCTGTGATATTTCTATGAGGAGGGAGTCGTCATCTCATATAACAATTAGGTTTAGACGAAGTGCTTTGAAGGTCCCCCAACACTTCCTAAACCGTTGCTCTTTCCAACCTTTTGTTGTTCAGATTAGAGGAACTGTTGACTAAAGGAATTGTCACTCGCAGGCTGGTTGGGTGCGGGGTATGCTTTCCTGTACCTCGAAAAGGCCCGACAGGAGGCAGGGAGCATAGACTGGGGAGCAAACAGGGCCAAGCAGGGACGGGGCGTGAGGGGACGTGGCGGTGGTGTCCTCCGGGACCCTCACAAGGAGGACAGAGACTCCCTGTCAGTGAGCGTCAGCCTAAGGTGGACTCCTATGAGGTGGAAGGCAAACATGCTGCCACCCTCGAACCCTTTTGCCCAAGAGACCAGCACCCATTCCTTCCACAGCACCCCACTTCTCTGCTGGGCTTCATTATTCATTCCAGTGGCCACACAGAGCTCACAGGCCACACTTACACACTTGGGGGTTGTTTTTAGGCAAGTAACAGGTTGCGATTCAGGATCAGAAACAACTCAGGATACAGTTCTTTGGTCAGGACTACTCAGCCAGCCATACCTACCAGTAGACCTCTCTCTGGCCTTTGGCCCCTCGGCTCTTAGCCTGGCCTCTGCGCTGCTCAGACAAATGTTAGGAAACTCTTTAACTCCACCACTAACTCCTGAAGCAACCATTGGGGCCAGTAAGCCTCAGCTCAAGTGCACTCAGCTCTCTTGCGCTGTGGGTTAGTCAGCAAGCCTGCCTAGGTCCACCACCAAGTGCCCACAGGCTGCCACTCTGCCAGGACACCTTCTGCAAAAGTCTCTTTGCTGTCTCACTCCATGAACCAAAGCCCGCTCTGCGGTCTCTAGACAGCCTCCCTCCACTTGTCACCTTGAACCATCTCCAGTGTTTCAACTCTGTCTCCTGGGTTTAGGGAGTTCTCAGCACGGGAACCCTGGTAAAGGATACCGTTTATTCTTGGCTTTTTTATTGGTGGTGGTAATGGAGTCCTCCGTTTCCAGATCAAGATGCCTCATTTTAAACCTGGCAAGATAGCAGAACTCGCCAATCCCCCATCTGTGTGTATGGAAGATTCATGGGAGACAGCCAAGTGGCCAAGAACTGCTCTGTCCACCGTGCGATTGGGACCCCTAACAAAGGGGCACGTTTCCTTTTAAAGCAACATGTGTGTTGATAAACCCTAATTACAGCTGGAGGCTCATAGTTCATTCTTTCCCCCGAGGGGGGCTAGGGCAGGAACATGGTTCGTGATCCTGTGGGAAACAGGTATGCCCCAACAAAAAAGGCAGGATGCTGCCCTGTCGCAGGGCCTTTCTGCTGCTGTTGTGTCTAAAAGACAGGCAGTCTAGGAGATGAAATGTAGATGCCACTGGATTTCTAGGATGTTCCCACAACCGATATGGAGTACTCCCAAGAAGAGCCAGCCCAGAAAGGTACATAATCTGATGCTTTTGCATGCCCATAGCCTGGCACGGTGCTCTGCCTTAGAACTTGGAAAAGTTTTCCAGTAAATATTTATTCATGAAGATGCTTGAAATACATGTGCCATTCTATATAACTTGAGATTGTTTTGTCCTTATTAACATTCACAGAAAGGATCACAACCCTGACCCGTGCCCATGAAATGGGCACAGATGTGTAAAGATCTGGGGGCTGAAAATGTACATCCTCCTCTTTACAAAGCAGTTATTTGACTTTTTTTCTCCTGGAACTCCGACCGATCCGATATACCAACTCTGATGGTGGTGTATGCAGGTTCATTCTCGTTGAATCTGAGGTTTTAAAAAAAATCTTCCTCGGATCGTAGTTTTCCAGGAGAAAGGACTCGACGCTTGTTTTAAAGATCCTACAATATTTAACACCTCCACTTGAATACACGTGGGTATTTCTCATCCGTACGGAGGCAATATGGAACAGGGAGGGCCGCAAAAATGAAGGCTGAGGAGGGTACTGGTTGCTGCACCTTTAACAAGAGTTACAGGCACAGAGGTTTAAAAAAATGCTGAAAGAACAGATAGCAAAATTTCTAGTTTTCCATTGTTAACATTACAGAGGGATTGGGGGGAGGCAACACATTAGTAGCATTTCTAAGATACCAAAAGTATGCTGTTAAGTTATCTAGAGAAAGGCAGATTAAAGAGGTCTGTCTTCCGGTCAGCAAAGACACAATAGAATTGGGATGTGACTGAAACCCCAACTCTGTCATTGAGTCGATTCCAACTCACTGTGACCCTGTAAGCCAGAGTAGAGCTGCCCCTGGGGGTTCTGAGACTGTATATCTGTGCTGGAGTCGAAAGCCTCATCTTACTCCTGCAGAGCCGTTGGTGGTTTCAAACTACTGACCTTGCAGTTAGCAGCCCAGTACATAACCCAGTGCCGTGCCAGACCTCCTCCAATGGCCACTAGGCTGTCAACCGGAAAGCCAAACTCACCATCTCCATGTCGATGCTGACTCCTAGTGACCCCACAGGACAGGGCACATCTCCCCTGTGAGTTCCCGAGCCTGGAGCACTTTACAGAAGAAGAAAGCCCGTGTCTCTCCCAAGGAGCAGCTGGTGGTTTGGAACTGTTGACCTTGCAGTTAGCATCCCAACACGTAACCCAGCAGCACTCACTACTGGGCTATATGTACGACTCATACAGTTTGGGCACCATTAGAAAATAATTACAAACTGACTGTGTGTCAGTAGATTGTCTTTTCAAAAGTTCTTGTGAATTCAGTTTGGCACACGGCCTGATAACCACCCAGACTGGAGTATCACAGACCTATCCGGACAATTGAGAGTCCCTGGTGGAGCAGTGGTCTAAGAAGCAGTTCACTGCTAACAGACAGCGGGTTTTCAACTCACCAGCTAGTCTGTGGGAGAAAGAGGGTGACTTGCAGCTTTGGGAACCCTGGGACGCAGTTCTGCACTGTCCCTCGGGCTCCCTGTGAGTCAGAATTAGGATTTGAACCCTGGCCATCCTCTCAGCCTCTTCAGTTTCTTTTCTCATCTGTGAAACAAGCTTAAAAATTACCTGATGGTTTTTAGGAAGCTTAAGTACAAGAAGAACGTCATGCCTGCCACTTAGGTGAACTTTGTCATGAAAAGTCCTGAATAGGAAGTGTCATTTTCTCTCACGCCAGCTCTTTAAGAAACCTCACCCACCAAAGCGAGTCAGGAGTCGCCTCAACGGGGATGCGGCCGGGCTCTCCCTGCCACCGGGATCCACCAGTGACAAGATCTTCTTCCACCACCTGGACAACCTGAGGCCCTCTCTGGCGCCGGTGAAAGGTCAGGCGGCAGGCGGCCAAAGCTGGCGTGGTGGCTTGGCGGGGTTACCCAAGCCTCGTGTGGTTTGGCATGGTTTGCTTTAGACCAGCGGTTCTCAACCTTCCTCATGCGGCGACCCTTTCATACACTTCCTCGTGTGGTGGTAACCCCCAACCATGAAATTTTCATTGGGACTGCCTACCTGTCATTTTGCTACCGTTACGAATTGGGTGACCCCTGGGAAAGGGTCGTTGGACCCCCCAAAGGGTCATGACCCATAGGTTGAGAACCGCGGCTTTAGACCATGTCATTTGTCCTGAGTGCTTATATTTTTTGTCTTAATTTTTTCTCTTTTATTACTTGTGTGATTCTTACATCAAAAACAAAATAACCAAACAGGGTTTCTTCTCCCACCTAGGGTAGCAAAAGCCTCGGGGTCACTAAAGTCTCGTAATGTCTATTCACTTGATTAAAATGTAGAACGATTCGGTCTCTGCTGTTCATCTGCATCTGCAGCTCAGGGGACTTCAAAAAGTTCGTGGAAAAAGGAAGTTAAAGGTTGATGGGATTTTCCCACGAACTTGTTGGAGCCATCTGGTGCGTTCTACCAAATAGAACTGGCTACAGAGAGGGTGCGTGCTTAGTACGCCCATGGAAAGGCACCTTTCCTTCGGCTGATGGTACACCTCAACTCACTCACACTCACGGCCTCGAGTCGCTGCCGACTCGGAGCGGCCCTGCAGGACAAGCCAGAACTACCCCTGTGGGTGTCCAAGCCTGGGGCTCTTTAAGGGAGTAGAAAGCCCCGTCTTTCCCTCTCAGCCGCCACTGGTGATTTCCAACTTCAGACCTTGTGGTTAGCAGCATCGTGTAACCACTGCGGCATCCAGAGCTCCTGTTTGTGTCATGATACTGTGTATTTTATCTAACAGTAACCCCCTTTTTTCTTCAAGTGGGTGTTTTTTGACCTTTGAATTAAAAAAAAATATATATATATATATATATATTTGCAAAATCTTGAAACTTTCATATTCCTTAAATCCACAAAGTTTCAGAGTTTGCGTATCTAGTTGGCTCCCAGGCCGCGTGGTCTTGTCGCACTGACTGTCTTGCTCTGGCGCACCATGGGGTCCGCAGTGTGCAGCAGTGCCAGGGCCTGAGGAAGTGCGTGGCCTTCCTTGGGAAAGTCCAAGAGGAGGCTGCACCTTGGGGGCTGCGGGAGAGCATCGCCAATGGACCGCTGGGGCCCCAGGCAACAAGGGGAAAAGCCTGACTGCTCGGAGCCAAGCTCGGAGTGTCTGGGACTAGGAAGGCCCAAGGGGAGCCCGGAAGAACACCCATCAGGGTCGAGGCCCCAGCCAGCACGCCTTCTAGGAAGTGGAGACCTCAGGCGCTAATCTACAGGACCAGAAGCCCGCCATTGCTTGCTAAGCCCGGGCGGCATGCTGGTCACCTTCTGAGCTGCTCACTGCAAGGTGGGCACCTCGAAACCACCAGCCCCTCCATGGGGAGCAAGAGGAGGCGTTCTACTCCCGTAGAAGAGTTACATTTGAAACCCGTGGGGACAGTTCTCCCTGTCCCCTGGGTCACTATGAGTTGGGATCAACTCAGTGCCAGTGAGTTTCGGTCTGGGGAAGTGGTCGAGCGGGCAGCTACCGCACTCCCTTGGAGGTACCGGCCATCACCTGATAGCGACTGTGGTGATGGTTGCACACGTCTCTGACAATCTTAAGAACCATTGAAGGTACGATTTGAATAAGTATATTGTGTGGCATGTGGACTCTGTTTCAGTACAGCTGGGTTGGTTTCGTTTGGTGAAGAAAAAGCTCCAGATCTCAGAACATTTTGCCTCCAAGCTTGCTTCGCATGGAAGACGTGAGATTACTGTGCAGTCCCACGTGCAGTGGAGAAGGTCGTTTTCCCCTCTTCTGTTCTAATGCGTCCACTTCTTTCTCCAGAACTCAAAGAGCCTGTGGGGCAGATCGTGTGCACAGACAAAGGCATTCTGGCAGTGGAACAGAATAAGGTCCTTATCCCGCCAGCCTGGAACAAAACTTTTGCCTGGGGCTACGCCGACCTCAGCTGCAGGCTGGGAACCTATGAGTCAGACAAGGTTTGTCCAGTTTCGCGCTTCCTTGTTGAATCTCTTGCTTGGCTTGGCTATCTCAATTAAGGGGCGTGGGTTAGAATGGCCAGCGAAAGGGGGCGCTTTAGTATATGAGATTCGTATTGGGGGCGGGGGACAATATGCAGACAAGTCTCACTGCCCGCAGACCAGGCCTCTTTGGGGAAATTGGCACTAGCAACGTATTCCTGCAAGAGGTCCCATACGCCACATTACTCCGCACATCTGCCCCCCAGAACCTCTTTCTTGTGGCGAGCCACGATCCTGGCCTCATTTATGCAATGCTCCGAAACGGCCGGTGGAAAGCGGGGTGCCACGCCCACCAGCAGCGCAGCTGCTGTTCTGCACTACTGCATCGTAGTGATCCGAAATTGCCCTGAGTTCACCGCCTCGCCGTCCCTCTTGAATGCCAGAGAGGGAGAGAGTCTGCACGCGTCTCTTGTGCCGTCGTGCACTTCTCTTTCATTCATGTTCTCCGACAAAAACAGCACTCGTACTTGCAACTCACATTCTAGTTGGCTTTCACAACCACCTCATTTGACCACGCTAAAAGAAACATAAAGTTGCCTCTAAATCTGCCCCAACTCATTGCCCTTGTATGTGCCGGGTGGAGCTGTTCTCCGTGCAGTTTCTTGGTGGCTCCTCTTTCAGAAGTAGATAGCCAGGCCTTTCTTCCGAGGCAACTCTGGGAGGGCTCGAGCTGCCAGCCTCGGCTTTAGCGCCATCCCGTGCGGTTTACAGAGCTTCACACAGTTGGACATTCGACCTCATTGGAGACCCCTCCCCCACCCCATGAGCTCTTGTGTGCCATTGAGTCAATTCTGACTCATAGCGACCCTGTAGGGCAGAATGCACAAGTTGCCTTATAGGGTGGGTGCTAGTCTATAATCTTAGATTGGAACCGATTGCTAAGAGCCTCATGAACAAAGTCCCCTTTAGCGTGGATTCTAACAACCGATGGCATAGTTCAAAGCTAACAGCCACTCTGCCGGAGAAAAATGAGGCTTCCTACTCCCATGAAAGGGTCACAGTTTTGGAAAGCCACAGGGACAGTCCTACTCTGGCCTCCATAGGATCTCTGTGAGTCAGATTCGACTCCATAACAGTGCGTTGGAGAGTTCTTCATTAAAAGGCTGGGAGCCCTAGTGGCCTAGTGAGTTACTCATTGAGCTGCTAACTGCAAGGTCAGCATTTCGAACCCACCAGCCACTCCTTGGGAAAAAGATGAGGCTGGCCACTCCCCAAAAGATGTAAAGTCTTGGAAACCCAAAAAGGACAGTTCCACCCTGTGCTATAAGTCTGCATCTGACGGGCCGCGCAGCAGTGGGTTTGGGTTTGGGTTTAGGCTGGGTAAGAGGCTGTAACGGTGGTTCAGTGGAGAGCATCAGTGGAAACGTTGTGGACTAAAACCAGCCCGGATAGTTTTCAGCAGGTCAACTGTGCTCGGCTTAGCTGCCTGTACATATACTTGAGGAGTCTGACTGTTTGCTGGCTGTGTGTCTCACATCTGGTTTTGTTTTCCAGGCAATGACGGTGTATGAGTGTCTGTCTGAGTGGGGCCAGATCCTCTGTGCAATCTGTCCCCACCCCAAGCTGGTCGTCACAGGGGGAACGAGCACCGTTGTGTGTGTGTGGGAGATGGGCACCTCGAAGGAGAGGGCTAAGAGCCTCACCCTCAAACAGGTAACAGATGTGGAAATGAGAAGTGGGTGTGGCACACGGTCCAGCTCAGCTGCTTGCTCTCTCCAGAAGCACAGAAGTTCCTTGATTCCCAGATCGTGCCTAATGCCCTGAACCCAAATGCTTCTTCTGTCAGAAATGCTTTTGAAAACAGAGGAGATAAGACTATACATAGTATTGTTGTAACCTGACTGAGCTGGAGCTTTCTTGATGATATCCGAAGCAAGCTGTCCCTTTAAAAAACCTACTGCCATCCAGTCAATTCTGACTCCCAGCCGCGAACTGCCCGTCTGCGTTTCCATGGCAGAAAGTCGCCTCTTTCTCCCACTGACCCGGGAGTTTGAACTGCTGGCCTTGTAGTGAGCAGCCCAACACGGTACCACTAGGCCACCTGGGCTCCTTTAGCTATCTACATATATATTCTAATATGTCTAAGTAACACACATATTATTTTGCTAAAGTGATCTATACATTGAACGTTTGTGAGCCAAATTACACTTGCCTGATGGTTCATGTTCATTTCCTTCCTGGGTGATTTGCCCTCAATGGACTCTAAGTGTGACTCCTTTGCTCTTCTCTCTGTTCACGTGCCGTGCCCTTCACGCCTGGGCACACACGTGGATGTATTTCAGTCGAATCCCTACTGATTTGCCTGAGGGGTCTTTTTGATCATCATGCAATTCTATTGTTAATTTTTACTTAAAACGGAATCCTGTTGTAATATAAGCCATCATCACATGAGTTTGAGTTGTGCCTGAATTTACTATAAGCTGTTTTTAAATGGCGCATACAGCAAAGTGTTTTGTTTCTTTTTTTAATACAAACTAAAGAGGTCATAAACAGTAATACCTGTCTCTTATTGCTACTTATATTTAGGATGTGCTAGACATGGTGCTGGCTATTTAAAGTCATGCACTGTCATCTGCACAACAAAGGAGCCCTGTGGGTTACATGGGTTGGGCTGCTAACCACAAGGTCGGCAGTTCAAACCCCAGCTGCTGTGAGCCAGGTTGCTCTCGTAAAGATTTCCAGCCTTGGAAATCTTCTATAGGTTCATTTTAAGTACTGAGTCAGAAGCGACCCAGTGGGAATGGGTGGGAATACTCACAAAGTAATTGCTGGTTACCTCTTCCCTAGGGTGAGGGGGTGGGGAGAACACAGCTCAGAAAAATTAGGCCACGTGCCCAGATGCACATGTAGTGGTAAAGCTAGTAATTTCATTCTGTCCAACTCCAAGGCTATTTAAAGGCTAAACCCAAAGCTACTTCATAGCTAAACTGTAACTTTGGTGTGTTAAATACTTATGGAAAGAACCTTTGTCCTTAGACCCGTGGCCATCTCTATAGACTAGAAATTCATCTCTGATTGAATTGTTGGGTCTTCCCGAGGTACGCCCTGTAAAAGCAGGTACCTGTAAAAAGCAGTCTTTGATGTGAGATCCAAGGTTGGTCTCGTATGTTGCTGATCCAGACCCCGCCGCATGTAAATATTTTCCAGTTAGAAAACGGATCTTGAAGCCAGGGTGCCAGCAACCCCTAAGTAGAAAGCAGCCTTTCTTACTCAGAACCGTCTTCTGGGCGTACACCGATGAAGTCCGTGCAGCCAAGATCTCAAGCCAACTCATTCTGTTATGCACACAGTTTTCCAGGCCATCCTGAGAACGCAAGAACTGCTCGTCGTCACCCGAGCCTTTTCCTTCAAAGTGCTTACTTACTTTCCCACAGCACCACCTCCCTGGGTCCTGTTTCTTGGAAGGAGGCCCTTCTGGGCACAGAGCACAGCCGGTTGTCTTCCGCTGAGTCACTGGTTCTCTGGACCACACTCTCCCTTCCTCTCCCCAGGGCCATGTATTGCAACCACCTGCAATTTTAAAATTTTTTTATCCATCCACATCTTGGCAGTTCCTGAGCACGGAACTCAGAACTGTGCCATAAAAGAACTAGATTCAGAGTTGAGCGTCAACCTTCTGGGTGCATAAGCAGTACCTCTCCCTGTGGCGTGATGTGCAGGCACTGGCTCCCCAGCACCCCTGCCTCGGGTTCCTCCAAGGGCTTCTGCAATGTTCTGGAGTCAGTGATGATGCCCCCAGCACTGGGGTCACCCTGATCTTTCTCTTCCTGTAGGCCTTGCTTGGTCACACTGATACTGTCACCTGTGCCACAGCGTCGCTAGCCTATCACATAATTGTCAGCGGGTCCCGAGACCGAACCTGCATCATCTGGGACCTGAACAAACTGGCGTTTCTAACCCAGCTCCGAGGCCATCGCGCTTCTGTGTCTGCCCTGTGCATCAATGAGTTAACCGTAAGTATCAATTGCCCACTGGATTGGGATTTTAGTGAAACAAGTAGTTCTGACCAACCTCTGAACTAAAGATCCCAAGTACTTGGACACACATGTTATAAAAGCAGGTACAGTTTTTCGTAATTTATGTATTGCTTGTTAAAGCAAATGGATATGAAAGTTTATAGTCCAGACAGCTAGATTGACTTTAAAACTCCCTCTGCCGCTGCATAAATAATGTAAAAACAGCCCACAATGTGCTTTAAAAATAAAAAAATAAGGAAGTTGTGGATTTGCTAATGACATTAGAATATTGTTGAAAATGTTATGCAATATATTCAGATTACTTATTACGTATTATGAAAATGATACCATATGAGTAGCCAGATGAGGGGGGCAAAAATCCTTACAGAAGTATTTTTAAGGAGATTATACCTTCTCAAAAACAAACAGTTTATGTACAAATAAAGAAATAAGCATACTGGCCTCTAGGAGCTACCGTGTTGACCAAGCCCCTTGATGTGTCCCAGGGGGAGGTTGATGGCTAAGACGCCAGGCTGGTAAGCAGGAGAGGTTCTAGCTGGGGCTCATAGAGCCCCAGTGTCCAGAGACAAGCTATCACATTGGTGTGTGGGTGATACTCCCATGTGCATATCAGTCTTCAAAAACACAAGGAAGCCGCTCGAGTCTCGTCACTTAGCAGCACTACCTACCCATCCCGTCTACCACCTTCACCCCTTAGCTTACCTGTACTGCTAATCATCCCACCCGACAAGAGTAATCTAGCCACAATTCCAGGTGTCACCCCCAGCACCCACAGAACCAGCTTTCCCCATGAAGAAAGCTGCCGCCCTAATTTCTGCTTCAAGTTAGCAGGCATCATGCTGTTAGTCAAACAGCATGTCGTCCGTCAGAGAAGATGAAGCTCCGCTCTAGTGGGTGGCACTGAGAGGGTCTTGGTGATATGGACAACGGTGCTGAGTTGGGACTGAGTCAGGAGCCCACGGGGGAAGGCAGAAGACTCAACGTACTTGTTAAGTCTCCTGGAAAGACGAGACCAGGGCAGTACCATGGGTTTGCCTGGCAGATGTTTGCCCCCAGATAGCTGCCAAACTGTCCGCAGAACCACTGTGACCCAGCGGTGGTGTGGAGCCAGCCTCTTGATTCCGCCACAGAGAGTCCTTGATGTTGGGATTGTGCTCAACTTTAATGCTGAAGATTAAAATGATCCGCAGCCAGTTGTGTTGGGGCCAATATTCTGTACTGATGGGATTTAATTCATTGCTACAAACTACGCTTAAAATGCGTTCATAACCTTTTCATTACTCAGGAGACGGTTACTGTTTTTCTGGTATGTTTTTCCAACCAAATACCAAGTCTACATGACCTCAGGCTACATTTGGGGCCAGAAACCCCTTGGCCGCAGCTACTCTTTCACCTCCCTGAGCGCCCCAGCCAGTTAGACGGCGGGGTTAGGTCTCCTGCATGCTACTGAAGGCCGTAATCGACCAAAGTCTTGCCTGATGCAGAAGGGGGCACAGCTGGCTCTTTACTGAAGGCCGTAATCGACCAAAGTCTTGCCTGATGCAGAAGGGGGCACAGCTGGCTCTTCTCTGTCAGACAAGAGCTGCGAATGACAGCTCGGCTGCAGGCACTCTTTGTCAGCGAGGGTGCTTGACAGAGGCAGAGAAGGAAGACCCAGGAATGCTTTGCCGGTTATGTTTCTAAAGGCTCACTTTGACTTGGCATCTTGGTAGAAGAAGGGCAGAAGGAAGATGGGACAGCAATAGCAACAGCGGCATGGACAGTGGTCTGGAGAAGCCTTGGCCCTCCCTCTCCATGTCGCCCCGCCCCTTGCTCCCCCTTAACTTCTCTCTTAATGTTGCCCCCCCACACACACATACACACACACAAACACTACTGCGTCTGATGGCAACTCCAGATTTCCACAGATTCTCTCACGGTCCACCGTGTGCACTGAATGTAGCAGGTGGTTTCAGGAGATGGTATCCAACCTCGTGACAACCCAGCGATAGGAGAGGCATTGGCACTGGGAAGAGTGGCATCTGCGTCGTGACTCTGTGGTTTAGGCAGGGGGCTGAAGTTCTCTCACTTTGCTCTCGTCCTCAGTCGGGCCTGGGGGACAGGGCCTGGCAGCTACTGGAGGATTAGCCCTGGAAAACCCTGAGGGGCACAGTTCTCTGACACCCGTGGAGCCACCGTCAGCTCAGGCTGGGTTCTGTTTTATTCTTTGTATTGTTTCCTTCCTCGATAAAGTAGACCTAGTCCTAGCCGACCTCCGGAGGTTGTGGTAGGGTGAAGTGGAATGGCTCTAAGTGTCCGCCACTGTCAACCCCCACACGGAAGATGTGTCAGAAAGCATCTTCATTCCTTTAACAGGAGTGGGTTAGAGTTATTGCCAAGTTGGGGTAGAGTCCCCGCCTCCCCACCTGGTAGACTTTGAGAACTAAGCTTATTCCCTTCTATCTTTGAAACTCAAAAAAAAATTTTTTTTAATGAGCTATCAAGTCAGGGAATCTCCAATTTCATTAAATTCTTCAAGAAGGAACCCATGTACCAGTCGTCCGTCCCCACCCC